CNNNTTCCTATTCTCGTGACTTTCACATTGTTTGGGTTGTGCGCTGCTGCATTTTGTTGGTGAAATCACATATTTGGGTGCGTCATTGTTGGTTTCTTTCGAGCCCTCCAGTTCGTATTCTTGCCCATAACGTGTTCGATCATTTGCCTGAGTGAGGTTCGTAGTAACAATGGTGCGAAAAGGGGCCGGTAATAAGCGTAAGAAAACCGTTGGGGAATCCTCTGCCTCTCAGGACGAGCCGGTCGATCTACGGGCCGACTACGATGCCCCCTTTCTTATTCTCTCCGAACGAGAGGGGGAGGTTTATGCCCGACTCTCGAAGAAGGACGTTTTGAACTCGAAGACGTTCGACTTCGCCTTGCTCTCCGATCTCGGAATTCTGAGGACCGTCGAGACCTACCTTGACGCGTTGTGATTGAAGGCTTATGCCCGTTTGGTCCACCCGACGTACCGCAACCTCACACTCGAGTTTTTCAGTACCCTCGAGATGCCGATGATCGAGGACTACATGACGTGCCGTCTACTTGGGACGGAAAGGATCATTACTGCTGCCATCATGAAAGACGTCGTGGGCCTCCGCCTAGGCGGTGATAGGATCACTCAGGGGATGTCACCTGCTGTTGTTTGGTCCCGGCTTTCTCCGGACACGGTGTGGGACTCGCAGGGCATGCCCAACAGCCTCATCAAGGACGGTGCTGTCGCGGTGCTGCACAAATTTTTGTGCTATGGTGTGTTCGGGAAGAAGGAGGCCAATAAGGTCACCCAGATTGACCTCTCCCTGCTGTGGGCTATGCTCGGTGAGAAGCAGCGCGACGTGTTGGATATTTTTAAGGTGGAGTGTCGGGCCATCATTCGGAACAAGCGAGCGGCGGCTTGCTTTGGTCATATAGTGACCGCTTTGGCTTTGCACTTCGGGGTCGACCCGGCGGCGTCTGGCAGCCTTCCTTCGCGTATGCGTTTCATTGACTATTATGAGCTCAGTCATGCAGGCCTCCTCCTCAATCGCCGCGCCTTTGAGATCTATGAGAAGCGCCTGACCTACCTCACTTACATGAAGAAGGTGGCTGCGGCCGCCTCCGCGGCTGAAGCAGGGTCGTCTCATCCTCGGCAGGAGACCGAGGATACCCACGAGACGGAGGCGATGGAGCACGACCAGGCTTTTATCGACGAGGACCATCGCCTTCCGCCTCCTGACGATTGGCACCCGACCCCAGAGGCTGATTTCTGGGAGCCACGACCCACACGCTCGCCTTCGCGCTCAGCGGAGCCATCTGCCCCACCCGCTTGGTGGTCCCAGCCTCCTCCGTGGTGGACGGCTTACGAGGACCGCTACGATCGTGACATGCGGGATATTAATGCCCGCTTTCAGGCTATTGAGCTGTGGCAGAACCGGTGGGACGAGCGTCACACACAGTGGAGCTCCGGCACCGGCCAGCCCTATCCACCTCCTCCTTCTCCTCCTCATGGACCACAGTGACTTGTCACTGTGTTGGTTAGCTTTTCTTTTTCTTTTCTCTTTATTTTGTTTCTCTTTTGTATTTTCTCTTTATTGTGTCTTGTCGGTTGATTGTGGATCGACAATGGGGACATTGTCTGATTTTCAGTGTGGGGGAGTTTATGTGGCTATATGATTGACCAGGTCTAGTTTTTCTTTGTTTTCGAGTGTGTTTTATTTCTTTCTTTTGCTTGTGGACCAGTCTAATGTAGGATTTATGTGTTTTGGGTCTGTACTTGGAAAACTCATGGTGAGTTAAGATGTGTTCAATGGATTCAATGAGTTGTGATGATGGCATTGTATGACATAGCGTGATGAAAGGCTTGGTTAATGGCTTTGATTGACATTCAGATATTTGCCTAGTGAGGTTTGAGCCTTATTTCTTTCTTGAGATACATTGGTCGTGCTCTTGTTTGATTAGAACTTGCTCTGAGTCTGCATCGAAATGAATCAATCTGAGTTGTGAACTGTGAATATGATTAAGGCATTTTTTGTATCTTTCTATCCTTGTTTTTTCTGCAGTTATTCTCTAGCTGCCCTTTTGAGCCTAATTGTTTTTTATATAACCCCGTGATGATGACATTATTGAGTTTCGGGTTGAGAATGAGAGGGGATAATTGTGGAGTTTGTTTATTTTTCCCAAAAAACAAAAAAAATAAAATAAAAAAATGTAGCCGAATGGATTGTCATTGTCCAATGAGGTTGACACAAAAAAAGGAAAAAAAAAAAAAGTTGGGTGTAAACGTGTGTTTTTAGGAGAAGTTTGGGGGAGATCCGGTTTGTTTAAGTAACCGGTTGAGCGTGCATTCTTTGGTTAGGAGTTTGAATCATATTCGAGCCACTTAGCCTATATTTATCCTACCTGTCCAAAGAGCCTACGTTACAACCCTGAAAGACTTTTTGATTCATTAGTTGCAGTTTTTGATTGGTTTAGAGTAGAAGTTAGACGATGGGCAAGCTTATGATTGAACTTGTTATCGACCAATTTGAGTGCATCCATATGTTTATTTGTATAAGAAAGTGAGTGAGGCACACATATACATTCCCATATTTGAGTGAACGTCATATTGAAGTCTAGCGACCAAGCATGTAGTCGTGTTATGTTCATATATGCCATTTGAATGCTCATTGTTGAAGTTGAACGTGTTGAGACTTATCTTGTTATCGACTGATGTTCAGGCTCATTTTTGTTTTGTGTCTTCTCTTTTCTTTTCTTTTCTCTTTGTTCGGGATGAACAAAGGTCTTAGTGTGGGGGAGTTGTTTGTCCCGTTTTTGTGTCTTTATTTCATATTTATTTTCTTTTTGTTTTCCCCCATTTGTAGGTTTTTCGTCGCTTATTTGGTCCATTTCATTCGTTTTGTGTTTTTGCCTTTAGTTTATATTTTTGTATCTTTTTGCCGTGTTTTGCTTCGTGTTTTTCCGTGTTTGTGTTTTCAGGAGGTAGGTGGTGCCGGTCGAGGTTAGGATTGCGTGTGCCGAGACTGCGATATCGAGAATTCCCGTGGCCGAGCCCAGAAGACGACGAAGAGGACTAATAAGACGGACAGAAAACGCGCCCAGAAATTCTCGCAACTCGCGACTCGCGACTCGAGTCGCGACTCGCGAACTTGCCGCGACCCGCGAGAAAAACTGGGGCTTAAAGGCAGCTGCGAAGACGATGTCGCGCCTCGCGAGAAGATGTCGCGACTCGCGAGACTGAGTAGCGACTCGCGACCTATGTCGTGACCAACCCCAGAGTAATAAAAAAATGACGACGCGCGACTCACGAGGAAGTCGCGACTCGCGACCCAAGACAAGACCATCTCGCGACTCGCGACTTAAGTCGCGACTCGCGACTTAATCGACGCGTTTTTCGAGGAGCGGGATTTTTAATGCTGTTTTTGATCCTAGGTTTAGTATTCATTATTCCAACTTTATTTTTACGTTCCCTCTGGAGAAAAACCCATTCCTTTTCTTTCTTTCGCACTTTTGAATTGTTTGGGGAGATTGACAACTCCTATTTCTTGCTTTGGATTTGGGTGCACTTGGATTTGACGTTGGATTCTCTATAATAATCGTAAGTTATTTTTCTCAATTACTTGTTGATGATGATGACTTGGGTTAATTTGAATGTTGACGTTGAATTTCATATGAGTAGCTAAATCCATTCGCTAGGGATAGGGGATGATTGATTAGGTTCATTATAATTGAATGCTTTTGATTGTTCATGTCTATTCGAGTTGTGCCAATCATAGGGTTAGTAGATTGATTACCTTTCTAACCTAGATAATCAACGTGTAGAACCGAGAGGAGAGACGTTGGTAGAATTAGGCTCGTTTAGAATAGATTTGTTCAGAAGCGTATAATCTATGTGTTGTTGGAATTGATAGTTGATCGTTAACGTTCACTCTCTTGTTACGAAGAGTTATTGAGAGTGAATCTCTGAACGAGAGACGATTCAAGACCTTTAACCGAGCAATCGATTGCCGGTGATTGCATTAGAACCGAAAGCAGTTATCCCCGATTCCCTAGCACTTAAATCATTCAGTAAAGTCATTTGCTATTTGCTTTCATTTCATTCAAGTTAAATCAGTAGTTGATAGTCAAAACCTCCAAACTTGATTTAGAATGTTTAGGATTTTCACTTCTTTTATTTTCTATTTTTGTGTTTGAATAATCGTACAAAATAATCCGGCTGACCTTCCTCGAGAGACACGACCCAGGGATTGAATCAATTGGTTTAACTCCGGTAAAAATTATTACAACAATGGGACCTATCGTGGACTAAAATAAAATTGAGTTTGATAATAGTAAAATGCCACCCCAAAATTTGGATGGAGCTTTGTGCTATCCTATGCTGCTATTCTAATTTTGCCGTTCAGGTTATTTGCATATATTAAATTGAATAAAATATAAATCTTTAAAATTGCAATCAAGTCCTTTGAGATTATCAAATTCCCACTAAAAAAACCCATCTCCCAATTTAGTTTCTTCCAACCATTGTTGTTTAATCAGCCCGCAAGCAGAGGCGCATACTCGGATGTATGCGGCGGTGGCCACTGCCAGTGTCGGCGGCGGCCGGTGTCGGAGTTTTGCGACGGGCAGCGGATGATGCCGTTTGGGCTAGACCGGCGGCCGGCGTGTGCCTGACAAGACCAGCGGCACGACGAGCTCAGCGTCCTCGACCGTTTGGATGAGACCAGCATTGTGCCAGTGGCGGCGTTGCGAGGCGGCAACCACGATGCGACGGGGCGGCGTGACTAGGTGGCTGAGATCGACAGCGACCGGAGCGAGTGGAACGACTACCGTTCGAGGCGCCGGTGTGATGTGTTTTGTGGTAGAAGATCTCCGACCTCCAGGTACAGTCGTCGCCGTGTGTCTCGCTGGAGGAGACGACCTTCTCGTCGGATTTGAGCGGCGGGAATCGGTGGAAGAAAAAAGGGCGGAGTTGACACCGGCGTTCTCGACCGTCAACGATCGACGGCGGCGTTCGGTTTGATGAGTGCGGCGGTGCTGTGTGTGGAGTGGCCGGTGGTGCGGTGGCGCTGTGCGTGTAGATCTGTATTATTTTCCTTGCAGGCGTGTGTGTGTTGTGTGTGTCTAGTATGTGTGAGTGTGTGAGAGAGAAAGAGTTGTTGGGATGTTGGTATTTATTTGCCACGTGGCAGTAAATTAGTGGATGTGTGGTGTATGAGTTGACCGAGTTATGGAGTAGTTGGCAGGTGATGTGTTCATTAATTTGTATAAAATTACCACGTTACCCTTAATGAAGATATAATTTTGACTTTTTTTTAACCATTAGATCATTCGATCTAATGGCTACTATTATTCTTATTTCTTTCACTGAGCACCATTCTCGCTCGAGCGCGACCCTATATATATATATATATAGGGTCGCGCTCCAGCGAGAATGGTGCTTAGTGAAAGAAACGAGAATGAATCGTAACCATTAGATCAGATAATCTCATGGTTAAAATAAAAGTCAAATTATATCCTCATTAAGGGTAATGTTGTAATTTTCTATACCACATCAACAAAGTGGACCCCACTCTACATTAATAAATATGCTAACCTACCCTACCCACGTCACTAGACAACCCCACCCACATCAACCTGCCCCACCCCACCCCACCCCACCCTCTCCCCACACTCTCTCTCACATACACACGCATACATAGAACACACACAACACACACACGCCGAGAACACACACCACCACCGTCGTGCATACATTCCCTCCGACGGGCTCAACCACTGCCACACCATAACCACCGTTGCACCACCACTGGAGCATCACACTAAACGCCGACCGACCTTCTCCAGTGTCGGTTTTTGGTTTCTCAGGCGGTAGACGCTTCACGGCTTCAGACAGCCATTCAATTGCAGAGTCCGGCAACAACGATCCGATGCAGATTCCAGTCGCCAGATTCCGTCACCGCCGTCCGCCACCAAGTCCGAGGCTTCAAACCCACCGCCGCACCTTCATCCCTTAGGCGGCAACCGCTTCAGGCCAATCTACTTCGACTGTTCAGGAGACATCCGCGGCCAAGACACTTCTCCAATTGAAGATGTCTGGCGACACGTGAAGAATGTGTGGGCTGATTAGGGATGGGAGAAACACAATTTAAGGAACTTGGGGCTGTAATGGGGTGGGCTTGTTTTTTGTGAATTAGATGATTTGAAGGGACCTAAGTGTAAATTAAAAAGTTTTAACTAAATTTCAATTGAGTTCATAGGGCCAAACGTGTAATTTTATATACATATATGTAATGGGGTGGGCTTCTTTTTCTTTTGTGAAGAATGTTATTATTTATATAACGTCATTTTTTATACATATATGTTATATTTCTTAAAAACCAAAACTACTATAAAATATTAAACAAAAGTACTATATTAAAACACTTTTGTTATTTTAACCAAAAAAATAATAATAATATTGAAATACTAAATATATTTTAATAATAATAAATAATGAAATNGTAAAAAGAAAAAAAAAAAACGAATGCACAATAAACAAATGAATATTAGTGATTATAGTATTGCACATTAATGTTATACCGATTGCACATTAATGCGTTTGTGAATGCACAATATCATAAAAAAGTGTGTGTTTTCACATATGTTAAAATTCTGACTATTTCAATTCGGATTCGACTTAATTTTAAAATAAATAAATTAATTAAAAAACAATATTATTTATTTTCCACAAACTATAATATAAAATATTGAATAAAAATAGATTTATTAAATATATTTTCTCGTATATAAGTTACTTGATAAATGCAAAGTAACGTTAATTAAAACACATTATTAAAGTTTCTAAAGTCGAATGCACATTAAAAAAAATCGTAAACATTAAACTGCTCAATAATGTTGTAATGCACGTTATTGTCAACGGGATTGCACTTTATTGTCTAAGATAGTGCACTTTATTGCTTTCGCTATTCTATTATCATATCTTTCCAAATAGTAATAATGTAAAATATTAAATATAAATATTAAAATACTAAATATATTTTTTCATAATATGAATAATAAACCTTTATATTGTTTACGAAAATTCAATTAATTAAACAAATAAACCAATTTTTTCAGTTCAGTTTTAGTTTGATATGGAACAAATATTTAAAAAATGCATGTGATGCAAATGCACAATAGTGTTATATAAATTGCACTTTAATTACTATCATATTGCACAATATAGTCATAAATCGATCTAAATACAATTTTCATTTTAAACTTTTATATTTCATATCGAATATCTATTTTACTTTTCAAATATCAGTTATTCCTGTTCGATGTCTACATTAGCTTTTAAAATAACGAAATAATCGAACCAATCGAACTATATAAAGTATTATTATTATTATTATTATTATTATTATTATTATTATTATTATTATTATTATTATATTTTTTTTAACGTATTGATATTGCACAATATTGTTAGATAGGTTGCACATAAAAGACTTTTAGATTGCACAGTAATGATCAAAATTGTCCAAATTAAAATTTTTGATTAATTATAAATATGTCACATGAACTTGATTATAATAAATTAATGTCTTTACAATTGCAACTAGGTCCTTACATTTTATCAAATTCTCAATAAAACAACCCCAATCCACAAACACCTTACAGTCGCCCCCTGCCGTACGAGCCGCCTCCGCTGGCGGCTGTGACTCGTCGGACGACACGTCGCCGGTGTTACGTCGGCGGCAATTTTGCAGAGGTCCTATACTCATTCTCCGTCCATTCCCGGCGGGCTTTTTCGAGTCGCAAGCACTCGACGGTGTCCAGTGGATCGACGGCGGTCTTCTATTCTAGATACGACTGAGCGTGGGAGATGGCCGAGCTGTGCTGGACTGTTGAGGAGCGGTTGTGGTGGAGACCGCCGTCGGAGCTTTTCCGTGGTTTTGGGACAGATTGCGGCGGAGACGACATCCCTGGTGGATTTGTGCCGAGCTATTGGGGATCTGGCGGAGAGACGACGTATGTGTTGGAGGAGACGACGGCCATTGACGGTGGTAGAAATCCGAAGCGATTTTCCGGCGAGGTGTTATCATAGTAACAGTGAGAAAGAGAGCGGTGTGGTTGTGTCCAGCGGAGGTCAAGGATGTCGAGAGGCGAGTTGGTTGCAGGCGCGACGGCGTGAGGTGACGTGTGCGGTGGCTCCTGGTGGTCCGGCACCTCACAGTGCGTGAGTGTGTGCGTGTTCTGTAATTTGTGTGTGTAAGAGAACGAGGGAGGGAGTAGGTGGGTTGGTACGAATTTGTGGAGGAACTAAAATGGTAGTGGTGGGTCCCAGCGTATTGATAGGATTGAATTAAATGTCCCTATTACCCTTAATTATTGGTTAAATGCACATATTTGACCCACCATGATCAAATAATTACCATATTGCCATTAATGATTGACTATATTTTGACTTCATCTTAACCATTGATATGATTGATCACATGGTCCAAATTCATTCTTATTTTTTTCACTATTTATGATTCTCATATGATCCTAACCCTATATATATATATATATATATATATATATATATATATATATATATATATATATATATATATATATATATATATATATATATATATATATATATATATATATATATATATATATATATATATATATATATATATATATATATATATATATATATATATATATATATATATATATATATATATATATATATATATATATATATATATATATATATATATATATATATATATATATATATATATATATATATATATATATATATATATATATATATATATATATATATATATATATATATATATATATATATATATATATATATATATATATATATATATATATATATATATATATATATATATATATATATATATATATATATATATATATATATATATATATATATATATATATATATAGTATCTAATGTGTAGTCCAAATTTGGGTTCCAAATTTAAAAGTCAAATAAGTAATTATTAATAACTTACGCGTCAATATTAACTTGAAAGTAAATGGAACAGTCAATTATTTATAATTTAATAACTTACTCAACTACTTAAATTTATTTATTTGGATAGCTTAAACAAAAAATGAATTCATTTTAATTAATGAAACATTATAAATTTTATAATTATACTTGTTATTCACATAGATTTTTTAAATACTTGGTAAAATTTTACAAAAAAGATTTATTTTATGGAATCACATTTAGTCAAATCGAATTTCTAAATAAAAATTTTAAAATGACACTTTTTTTAAAATAAATATAATGTAATTTATTATCAGTTACGTGCACCGTACGAATTATGTACTAATTTTAACTAGACATATTTTATGTAATTTTGCACAATTTAAATTTCATATAACATTTTTAATAAATTAATATAAATAACTTGTATTACATATTGATTTCATATTGTAAATTGATAAATACTATTTAATGAGCATTTTTAATTTATAAGTATTAATTAATATTTCTCATCCGTAGATCGCACGAGATTCGTACCAATAATTTTTAAAGAGGCATTAGAAAGTGTAACAATAGTATTTTAATTTTAATTTTCATCTATATATGCACGTTGTTTTATTATTTAAATTATAATTGACCCATATCTTGTTTAATGCATGTCGTTTACAGTTTACACCAAGTCGTGTAACTCGTGATACTTTGAGAAAATGATTAAAAGAACCCTTTTGCGGTGATACGTGATAGTGATAACCAATACTCCCTCCGTTTCTTATTAAATGTCGTTTTAATTTAAAACTTCTAAATTACGATTTTAATGGGTTGTGTAATAATCTTATTTTTTAATCTTATTAAATTTAGTTTTTGAATTATTAATGGATAGTTTTTAAAGATAATGATAAGAGATAATGTTTGTTAAAGAGAATAAAGATGTAAGAATGAATATAATATTTCCAACGACAATTAATTTGCAAAAAAGTTGACACCCTACAACGACATTTAAAACGAAACAGAGGGAGTAGGCAACAGCAAAGAACAACTTTGACTACTCCTAAGTCCTAATGACCAAACATGTGCTAGGAAGGGTCCATACCAGATTCAAAGAACAACTTTGACTACTCCTAAGTCCTAATGACCAAACATGTCGTGCTAGGAAGGGTCCATACCAGATTTGGTCTCAACATTCGTGTTGCTTTGTGATTGGCTACAAACACTCTTGACCTTTTTTTTTTTTTCTTCTTTTCCTTTTTTCTGAAGTTCGTAATTCTCCAAACGAGCACTAATCTGTACCGCCATCGGAAAAGATTGGCTTATTATAACAATTTCGGACATGTGCCAAATTAATAGTATGCTTTTATTCACTATTTTCTTCCAGTCAAGTGCCTTTATGTATGCCGATTTTCCACACCTATATAAATATCTATATTATTATATAATAGAACATCTTGCTAAAATTTTTTCTTTACGAATAGTATGCTTTTATTCGCTATTTTCTTCCAGTCAAGTGCCTTTATGTATGCCGATTTTCCTCATCTATAAATATCTATATTATATAATAGAATATCTTGCTAAAGTTTTTCTTTCCCACTCTTTTTTTTTATCAACAAATAATTATATTTTATAATAATTGAATAATAATTAGCTTTTTAACTATTCTATCATGTAATAATAGTTATGATTAAAACTAACTAGTTTTTGTCCCGTGCATTTGCACGGAAAACTATATGATACATGAAAAAATAATAAAAATTATAAACAACAGTAAAAATCATAACAAATTCATTGAAAAAAATTAAGAAAAAAAATATAAATATTCTTAAACACTTCTTTATAAAACAACGTCGTGGTTTTTCTATCGTCAAAATCTCCTTCAGCTGAAATCAAAATCTTCAAACCCCACTGACTCGTAACTCTAAAAAGCGCCACGTATAATTGCTCATGCTCTTCAGTAGTAAGCCCACGTGCGACAGAGACTGTCTTTGACTCTTATTGATCATGTCATAGCATAGGAAACACTTCTTTATATTGTTTGTCCTCGACTCTTTGTCCTCGACTTTTATTGATTGATAGAGATTGTCCTTGC